CACCTGCTTGGTGTGGGCCCACGGGAGAGGCACGGGGGTCCCTGCACCAGCCTGTATCGCTGCTGAGGGTCCCTGAGACATGTGTGAGCAGGAGATCTCATAGCTAGGCTCTGGGCTCCCCACATCTCTTCTCGATAGTAAATAACTTGCTCTCTTCACTGCGCATATTTAATGTATTTAAATGTGTAAACCAGTGGCGCTGAAGCTGTATTCAGCATCAGAATCCCCTGGAGGGCTTGTTAGAACACAGTTCGATGGCCCACCCAGTTTCTGCTTCAGCAGGTCTGGGCGGGGTCTGAGAATCTGCATCTCTAACGAGTTCCCAGGCGATGCTGTTGCCGCTGCTGGTCCAGAGACCCCATTCTGAGAACCATTGGTCTGAGGCATCTACGGCCTGGGTAACTGGGCAGGTCCACGGAATGCCTGAGCTTCCTGAGACAGGTCTTCTTCCTGACCTCTGGGGCTGCCTGGATACAGCTGTTCCATTTGTTCCATGACACAGAGCCCCTCAGAGATTTGAAGGCAGCTATGTAATCAGGACAGTTGGTTGGTTAACTGACAGAATCCCAACTCAACCTGGCTTAAGCCCCAAAGAGGATTTATTGGCTCTTGAAGGATCCAAGAGATAGGTCTAGCGCCTTCAGGCACAGTTGGATCCAGGAGCACAATTAGTGTTGTCAGCATTCAGCCTCCCTCTCTCCTAGCTGTAAGGCGGAGGGTTAAGTAGTGAGTGTGTGTCAAGATGAGGAGATGAGAGTAGGAGTGTCAGATGTCCCTTGTCCCCTCACCTGTAAAATGGTTCAAGGAGAGTGACAGAGGTTGCAGGAGTCACAGGGCTGTGAGGACGTTTTATCCACTCCTCTGGGCTGTCTCTTGGGTGGGAGGGTACCCAGGCAGAGACAGCCCCAGAGGTGCGACCCATCCCGGGACCTCTCCTTGTGGTATCCACTTGAGTGGGCCCTGGTTTCCCCATCTGGCCTTGTGCCCTCTCACAGAGAGTCTTCCAGTGTCGGTGTGTGATGAGCCTGGAAGGCGCTGAAATTGTGCCGGACAACGTGGCAAATGGAGGGAATGGTATTTGCCAAGTCCTTGGGAGAGGGAGGGGGCACTGTGGGGAGTCAGGTGCCTGAAGACACGTGTTCAGGGATAAGAGATGAGCGTGAAATGGCCATCTTTTGTCACAATGAGAGAAAAACCTCAACTCAACAGGTTAGGCAAAAAAAGGGAGTTGTTTGCTTCCATAGCCAGGTGTGGTTTGATCTAGGAGCTTGAGATCGTCAGGACTCAGAGCCTGTCCCTTTCTCCCTACATTTTTTGGCTCCACGGGTTTAGGGCCTCTTGGGCAAGCTTCCTAGCAGCTCCAGGCCTGCTCCCTACCCCACCAAGATGGCCGGAAGTGCTGTCCGCTCGTCCAGCGGTCAGTCCAATCCGAGCCCCAGCGTTGCTCCCCCGTGGTTCTGACTGGTTCACACACCCACCTCGAACCCAATCACTGGGGCCAGGAGAACACAAGACCCGGCCGGGCCCGGGCCGAGCCACACATAGCCCACAGCTGGGGCTGGGGCTGGAGTCGACGCTCCGAACCAGACGAGGTGGCGGAAGCGTGGTGCCCACAAGGCGGAGCTGGCCGGCTCTGCCCAGAAGAAGGGGAAATGCGTTCTGGGAGGCCCACCCAACCGTGTCAGCTACTGGCACCAAATTATCAGCCTGCCTGAGGTCCCCTCCACCCCTCCCTGGAACCTCCGCCCTCGTCTCTGCTCCCACCCCCCAACTCCCAAAGACCACCCAGCCCCAGCCGCCCTGCCAGCCTCGCTCCTCCCGGAGAAGGGGAGGGGGCGGTGACCACTTTCTCTCATTAGTGTCTCTGCCGTCTTTTGTCACCTATCAGGGGAACAAGCAAGTCCTTTGATCACAGCAAAAGGAGAAAGAGGATTTAAAACACGGCCTGCGAAGATTTGCTGAGCAGAAGGTGGGAAAGGCAGTCGGTGGCAGTTTTCACAGCAGACAATGATTTCTAGTCTCCAATTTGCCTGGCTGAGGAGACTTCTCCTGCAGCTTGGGTTTTCAAATGGGCCCAAAACCCCTGAGGTGGGGGGGTCCCGAAGGGACCTGGTGGAAGGGGGTTCCTGGGGGGAGAGTGGCAGCCCAGCCTTTCATCCATCAGCAGTCACAGGCCATTAAGGCTGAATGGGCAGCCGGAGGAGAGCACCGGGCTGGGAGTCCGGAGAACCGGCATCACCCCGGCCCTACGTGGGACCACAGATGCATCCCCTCCCGGCTCTGGGCCTCGGTGTCCCTTCCGTATCAGAGCCTGGACCAGAGTTCAGAACTCCCCTCTTCTTTCGCTCAGGACCTCCAACGACTTCTGCCACATCCACCGACACCTGGCCGTTATTTACAGAGATCCCCTTTTCCCAACTTAAATGCATTTAATTGAATAAAGAACATTGATGTCACGACGATAAATGACAACACGAAACAAAACAAAACAGTATCATGCCCATAGTAAGAAAAATAACCATAAAAATAAATACAGTGGAAAGCAACATGTTGTTAAGTCCTAGCCGGATACTGTTGCCCCCCGGAGGCAGCATGAGGAGCCGGCTCCTTCTGTTATGAGGGGAGATGGGCAAGGGCGAGGGCGGTGTCTGGGGGGCTTTCTCCTGGAGAGAAAGGGGACTGGCGTCTCACTCTGGGCTTCAGGTGGTTTAAGGGGCTGGGCGGGCTGCACCCCCACGCTGGGACAGGCTGGACCCGAGGAGCGGGAGGCCCCTCCTGTGCTGGGCATCCAGCTGTACACCTGGCCATCCAGGTGTGGCCACCGAGTGAGTGAGTTCATCGTGTGGGTTCCTGAGAGGGGGGAGCAGCAGGGAGGTCCCTGCAGCCTGTCTCCCCCTCTCCCCAGCCTCGCAGCCCCTGTTTCTGAGGCGTCTTCAGGGGCCCAGGGACAGAGGTGGGGGATTTAAGTTTGGGCTCGTCCCTTCCCCACTCCCCACCCCATCTCCCAGGCAATCTCCCCCTTTCTGCTGCTCTGCTGAAGCTCGGGTGAGGGCCTGGCTCAGCTCTCAGAAGGCGATTTGGGGGGAGGGCAAGGCACAGGGTCTGCCTCCCCAAGGGGATGCTGTGGCCCCATTCAGTAATTATTTACTGAGTGTCTTCCACGTGCCGGGCACCAGGACAGGCAGCATAATTTATGAGGGCTGGTGCTAAATCAAAGTGCGAGACCCTTGTTCACAAAGTGTTGAGAATTTCAAGACGGTGACAGCACAGCATTAAACCGCGTGAGGGCCCTTCTAGGCCTGGGGCCCTGTGCAGCTGCAGAGGTCAGCCACCCTGACACCAACACTCCTCTAGGTACCAAGGGCAAGTGCCTGTGAGCTGTGCCCCAAAGGGACTCACTCAGAGGGGAGAGAGACAGCGAGCAGACCCCAAGACAATCTCCCGCGGGGGGACGGGCTATTATAGAAGTAAGTGGAAGCAGGAGAAAGATCACTGGGGTCACTAGATGCAGAGGCGTCAGGGAGGGCCTCCTGGGGGAGCCTCCCCGTGGGAAGGGCGCTCCAAGCAGATGGACCAGCAGGAGCAGAGGCCCTGCCTGATTCTGGAAAGATGTCGGGGATTCTGAGGATCGAGGGGGCCCGTGCGGCAGAGGGGAGAGGGCAGAAATGAGGCGGGAGAAGTGGTCTGGGGCTGGGGAGGGGAGGAGTTTCGATTGTGAGATAGTCCATTTATCCTTCTAAAAGCTCTCTCGGACGCTGTGTGGAGAAAGCATCGGAGAGGCGAGCCGGGAGCCGGGAGCCCTGTGAGGAAGATGTGCGTGTCGTCCACGGGAGAGCCCGTGCTGCTGGGGCCCGGGGGGAACTGGGGCGGGGCGGGTGGGGAGGAGGTTGGGGGGGCGCAGGGGGAAGGGGGTTGGGTTCAGGGCATATTTGGAGGTCGAACCCAGAGGATTCACAGACAGATCCAAGGCCTGGCGTCCGCTCACTTACCCCCCAGATGCCCGGGGGGAGATATGGAGGAAACAGACCCATCCCCACCATCCAACAGCGGAGAGGAGGTAGGAACCGCGCCTTAAGGGTGGCGCACACAGGGTGCGGCCAGATCCCGTGGGGTCGGGCTAGACCTTGACCACTAGGGCCAGAGGAGGTGACACTGGATAAACTATTGTTTGGTTCAGTCCTTGAAACATCACTTATTTCACAAAATCCCAGGAGGTCAGGTGGGCAGGCAGCTAGAAACCCCTCACCTCTGTTGTGGGTTGAACTGTGTCCCCCGAAGAGATGTTCAAGTTCTAACCCAGGTATCTGTGAATGGACTTTGTTTGGAAATAGGGTCTTTGCCGATGTGATGGGGTTAGGAGGAGGTCATAGTGGGTCGGGGTGGGCCCTAATCCAATGACTGTGCCCTTGTAAGGGGGAAATTTGACGCGGACACACGGAGGGGACAAGGCCACGGGAAGGTGGGGGCAGAGACTGGAGCAATGCTCCACAGACAGGGAACGCCAAGGGTGCCGGAGCCACCAGAAGGCCGGAGCGGCCTGGGTCTTCCCCAGAACTTCAGGGGGAGCACGGCCCTGCTGCCCCCTTGATCTCAGACTTCCAGCCTCCAGAACTGGGAGAGAATAAACTTCTGCTGTTTTAAGTCACTTAGTTTGTGCTTATTTGTGACAGCATTCCTGGGACACTAGTACAACTTACGAGCAGAGACACTGAGGCCCAATAAGGGGAGGAGCTGGCCCAAGGGCAGCCAGTGTGCCAGCCCACCCAAACTACGTGGACAGAGAGCCAGGGAGGGGTGGCTCCCCAAAGGAGAATAACCAGACGCTAATTCCAGAAGGAGCAAGGCAGGCAAAACTCAGAGACGACCAGTGCATGACTCCCAGCTCCTTCCCTGGCCTCTTTGGCTCCTCGCGGACCTGGGAATGCTCTGGAGCATCTTCTCGCATGTGCAGACACCTGCAGCCTGTCCATCACTCCAGGAGGTGGAGAGGTTGTGAAAACTCTGGGGAAATCTGCTTTAGGGGGTAGCTGCTCTGCAGGGAGCTGGCTACACAAGGGCTACACCTGTGCAGTGAGGTGAAGTGAGAGAAATGAAGGGAGATGACCTCAGGAAAAAGAGTCCAGGGTCCCAGTGGATCCCAAGCTAAACAAGACAAAGTAATAAACAGGGTCCTGAAATTTGAAGACTGAACAATTCTATTCTAGTGACTAGGTGAGAAGCCAAGTGCACCATTTTGGATGGAAAAATGGATGTTAAAAAAAAAGAATCAGGTTTATGCCTTCCTTTTGGAATCAGTGTTTTTGTTTCTGAATACCTGGAACAGAAGAATAAGCTCAGGGGTGGGAGGCAGGAGATCTGAGTTCAAGTCTTGGCTCTTCTATTCTAGAGCTCTGTGACCTTGAGACTCTTTTCCATCAGCAAAACGACCAGGCTGGGCCACCACAGTGGTTCTCAAACGGTGCTCCATGGAGCCCCAGGGGGGCCCCAAATGGGCCCAAGACAGAGCTCCCTGGCCTCCCAGCCTGAAAAGCCTGGCTTTGCTCTCTTATGTGTTAGGTTTCTATATCAGATTTCATTTGAAGAAGACTCTGTGGCTTAACAAAGTCTGAAACTTGGACTGGATTAGGTCTTTCGTCCCCTAAACACAAATATTCCAAGATTCTCCGTCAGAATGACAAAGTGTTCCTCTACAGTTCACCCTGGTTAGAAGCGGCTGCAAAGCATCCTTTCCGCTGTTTCCTGTAAACCGGCCTCTTGTTTATCTCCAGGAACCACTGTCGTCTGGGGCATGATGGCTGCTGAGCACGATCCTCATGCTGGGGAACTGGGTGGCCCCCAGGGAGAGGAGAAGGCGAGCAGAGGGAGGCAGCGGCCTGTTTTTGAGATCCCTAAGGCTTGGCATCCTGAGATTGGGGAAGATGCTTCTGGAGAGCTGGCTGGGACGGGCAGGCAGGATGGCACCAGTGGGCAAAGCGCAGGCTCTGAAGTCAGATCCCCGCTCTCTCTCTTACAAGCCACGTGACCTGGGCTGGTCATCTACCCTCTTGTCCTCAGTCTTCTCATCTGTAAAATGGGGGTGATAATGGTGCCTGTCCAGTAGGGCCGTCATAAGGGTGAAGTGGGAGAGGTGTGTGAGGTGCTGAACACTGGGCCTGGCATGAGTGCTCTCTGCACACCAGGCATCAGTGGCCCCAGTGGTAACACTGACGTGGAGGCTGCTTCAAAGGGAATCCGGAGAAGGCAGGGGTGCTGGCCCGACTGGCACTGACCACTTCCCGGCCTGAGCAGCTCCTTTCAGGAACCTCTTCCAACGAGTCCTCAGACCCCACAGCTGTCTACAGACAATGTATCAGTTAGCTGTGTCTGCATAACACACAGGCCCAAAATTCAGTGGCTTAAAACAACTTATTATTCGAGTTCACGAATCGCATGGTTGAGAGATGGCTGATCTTGGCTGAGTTCCCCCGTGTGGCTGGGAGTCGGCCGCTGTCATGAGGTCTCGGTTGCCCTTGGCTCTGCTCCAGGAGTCTCTCATCCTGCAGGAGGACACCCTGGGCGTGTTCTTCTCATGACAACGGCGGAAGCTGCAGAGTGCAAGTGAAGCAGGCAAGATCTCCCGAGGCCAAGGCTGGGAACTGGCACACGGTCCCTTCTGCCACATCACTGTGGCCAAAGCCACGTCCAGGGCAGCCCGGACTCAAGGGTGGACCCTGCCTGCAGTGAGGAGATCTGCAGTGTCACATGGCAAATGGCCCAGAGTCAGAGAGGGATGAACTACTGGCCCCACCCCTGAAACGCACCACACACTATTGCTGTAATGAGACACCTGTAGGGCTCTCCCCGCCCCCTTAACTGACTGTAGTTCCCCAGGGTCCCCTCTCGTGACTCATTCCTGGGTTCAGGGAAAGCGTGGATCTGGACTCAGAGCACCACGCCAGCTGGGTAGCATGAAGTATCTCTGTCTGCACTGGCCACTAGTCTGAGCCTCAAGTCTGTGTAATTACACGCCCCCGCCCACCCCACCCAGATGGTTTAGCATCAGGAGGCAGCACAGGCTGGGGCAGGAGCCGGGCTTCAAATTCTGAGTGTCGCAGTACTTGGTGCATAATAAATATTGAGCTCATGTTTGCTGCATCCATTCATTCTCTTATTAAAATATTTTTATTGTGAAATATAACAAACAGAAAGTGCATAAGTATAGGTGTGCAGCAGAACAAATCCCTACAAAGCAAATACCCTTGTAACTATCCCCCAGAACCAAGAATAGAACACCCACCGTCACCGCTGAGATGCTCCCTGCCTCCTCCCATCAACCTCCCCTCCCTCTCCCACTGTCTCCACTTGCATGGTAACCCCTTCTGCTTGTTTTTCTTTTAGGAGTTTGCCATCTAACTAAGCATCCTTAATCCCTATCATTTAGTTTCTCCTCTTCTTGAACTTCATTCAGTGGAATCATACAGCCTGCCCTCTTTGTGTCTGGCTTCTTTCACTCAATCTTACTTGTAAGATTCATCCACTCATTGTGTATAAGCGTCATTTGTTTTCATGGCTGTATAATATTCCAACATACGAATATACCACAATTTACCTGTTTTACTGCTCATGGACATTTGGGTTGCTTTCATTTGGTGGATATTATTGGGAGTAGTCCTGCTCTGAAATTCTAGTTCCTGTCTTTGGGTGAACGGGCTTGCCCATCTATCTGTAGGGGATGTCCCCGAGAGTGCATTGTGGGGTCCTCACAGGGCACTCTACGCTCAGCTTCAGTACAGGGTGCCAAGTGGTTTTCCTTAGTGGTTGTACCGATTTACACTCTAACCAGCAAAGCGGATTTCTTTTTTTTTTCCCCTCCCACTCTCTCTCCCTCTTCCTTCCTTCCGTTTGCTTGTTCATTCAACCCACCTGTACCAACCGTCTCGGACTGGGTGCCGGTTCGAGTATCTGAAGGTGAAAGAAGTCCAAGTGTGCTCTCCCCCCGCCCCCAATTCAGTAGGCAGATGGATGGGAAGCCCCCAGCACCCCCTGAGGCCTCCAAAGGTAGAAGGTGGGATCTGGGGGAGCGTGGCGCCCAAACCCTCCCTCCTGGAAAGCCACGTGGCAGGGGCTCTGGGGCGCCCACGCCCCCTCCCCGATGTCGGAGGAGGGGCCTCCGCCCGTACTGAGGGAGGCTTAACCAAGCCCCTCCGGCGCCCGCCGGTTCGACATCAGCCCCCGCGGGGCGGCCCCCGGGCCCGCGTGCTCCTGGAGCTCCCGCCTTGTTTTCTGCGCCCTGGTTGGTTAGGAGCTGCGGGGTTCGCCTGCTTGCCTCTGATGGGCCGAGGAGGCGGAGGGGCGGCGGGGGGGCCTCCTCCCGCCCCCTGGGGTCTCTGGGCTGCGGGGAGAGGATGGGGGCAGAAACGGAGAAGTGAGGTCCTGAATCCCAAGTGGCGGTGGCCCGGGGACCCCGGCCAGCACAGGCGGTGGGGGCGGCGCCGAAGCAGGCAGCGAAGCATCAGCGCTCTCCCGGCAGAGCTCTTTCTCTCCGGCACTGTTTCAACCCCTTGGAACGGTTCTTCAAAGCCTCCCCTGCCTCTCTCGGGAGACACGCTCGCTTCCCCCCCGGCGTCTCGTCTCCAGCGCGGCCCCCGCAGCTCCGGGGCCGCCGCGGCGCCGGCGCCATCTGCCGGCCGCTTTGGGAACTGCGGGGCGAGACGGCCGGGAAGGGAAAAAGCAACATTTTCATCACCTTGAGCGCCGTAAAAATGAACAGCCGGCCTAAGAGAAATGTTCGATCAAAATCATTGAAAGCTTATGACTCAGAAATACCACTGTGAGAAGTTGCCTGAAGAGCGCACGAGTCCCAGCAAGCCGCCGGGTCACGGCGTTGGCTGCAGTGCTGCCGCGGTAGGGAACACGCGGCCCAGCGCAAGGTGAAAATATGGCAGGTGCCTGGAGGACAAGGACACTGCGAAAAATCAGGCGGAGGAATGCTGTATGTTACAGAGAAATGCGGCTGATATCTAGATAAAGGTGAACCATGCTGTAATCACACTTCAATTCTCTTGTCCTCGGTGTGATATTGTAGAGGATACATGGTGGATACATCCGCCCAAACCCAGAGGCTGTAACACCAGGCTGCACCCTAGTGAGAGCCGTGGAGTCTGCGTGACAATGAGGTGTCACTGTAGGCTCATGGATTGTAACAAATGTATCACTCTGGTGGGGGGTGTTGATAACGGGGGAGGCTATGCATGCCTGGGGTCGGGGGGTATATGGAAATCTCTGTGCCCTCCCCTCAATTTTGCTGTGAACTTAAAACCTCTCTAAAAAATAAAGGCTATTTAAACATTTAAAAAGCAGATTACAAAACAATGTGCTAAGACCTATTTGCGTTGTGGTCTGGGCCAGCTCATCGTGGTTGCTGTCCTGTAGGGTGGGGGGCTGCCCTGTTTGGGCTCCTCAGGAGAGGATGGGCGGGTGTTCCCGGCGTCTCCTCCAGACAGAGCTTCACAGGAACCGCGGCGGGACCCTCTGGGGTTGCCGAGAAGGGAGCATAGGCGCCTGGTGCTGCTACAGTCGTCTTGTTGCCAGGAGCAGAGCTTGTAGAGACAGAAAGCAAAGCGGGGGAAAGCAGAACTGAGAGACAGAGAAAGCGAAAGTGGGGAGAGAGACCGGATGGCAAGGTTGGAGTGTTTGCGTCCAGCCCGTCTTGAAGCTGGTCTGTTCCTGGACTTTTCAGATAATAAAGTCCTCTCTTGCCAGATTACCCTGGCTTTCTGTTGCTTGTAACCCAAAGAGTCTGTGAGCCCTAAACCAAGCTCCCCAGCAACGAGCCAGTTACTGGAGATGGGCGACGGCACGGGGGTCTTTCTGTCCTCACCTGGAACCTTCCTGTCGGCGAGCACAGCAGGTGGCACGTTGGGGAGGTGCCGTCCCGGGCCTGCCTCCTTCCCGGGCCCAGTCCTGGGTCCCCAGGGATGGAAGAGGTTCCTGCCTCGGGGTTGGTCTTCTGCTTTCCCTCTGCCTAAAATTCTCCCCTCCCCACGGCCCGGTGCTGCCTCCCTAGCTTCCCCTGCAGCTCCCTCACACACCCCCTCCTCCGAGAAGCCTGCCCTGGATGAAGGAGACCATTCTGTCCCAGCTTCTGTTTGCCCTGCGGGTGGCTCCCTTCTAACCTGTCACCTTGATGACGGTGGGGTCTGGGTCTGTCCTGTTCACGGCTGTGTTCCCAGTTTTTCCCAGGGTCCGGCACACAGTAGGAGCATCACCAATCGTTGTTCACTGAGAAAATGAGAAGGTGCGTAGCTAGGCGGATATGGCTGGTGAGGGGCCTACTCTGGGTGCGGACTGGGAGGGTGGGGCTCGGGCACGGCCTCTTCCCGAGAGGGGCCTTCTCTTGCTTTTACCGGAGGGTGGGGGCACAGTGACACCAACCAGAGGACACGCTGCAGGGTCAGGCTTTGACCGACCCAGAACTCCCCCTCCCTTTGGGGGTCTTACCTGGTATCAGGGTGTGTAGCCAGGAGCGGGAGCCCGGGCATCACCTCTTCACTGGGGAGTTAAAAGCCAGAGATGTCAAGCAAAGCCCAAACCAGGCCCATGACAGAGGCTGGGGAGCAACTGAGTACAGGGCTTAGGGCCTGGGGGACCAGGGCCAGGGGGCCAAGGAGCAGACGATGCACAGACAACGTCGGATGATCCTGCCACGCCGTCCAACACTTACTGCCTTTTGCAGTATTTTCCAGTCCTTCTGAGTAAATCTGAGAGAAGGCTCAGCTTAGCGATAACAGGTCCCTAACGCTTGTCTCTGGCTCTTTCCACAGAGGACCTCGGGCAGCCCAGACAAAGGCCTGAGGTGTAGTAACTGTGACAGGTTTCACTGTGTTTATTTTTATAGCTACCTTCTAAGTATAGCAATTCTGATTCCCCATTTAGGGTAGTAACAGGAAGTTTCTTTTTCAAATGAATTTACATAAATAAAAGGAGACTACTAGGAGGGAAATGGCAAGTGGATGACAGAACAGGCGGGCGGTGGCGTTGTTGGCCACTGAGGGAGGGGGCGTGTGACTGAGCCCGTGAGGGGCTGGCTGGGGCTGTGGGGGCGCCCCCTCCCCTACCCGCGGGTGGAAATGGAGCTGGTTGAGCTGCTCAGAGTCACAGCCCTAGGGGAACAGCACAGAGTGAAGGGCAGGTAGGCGTTGGGGGCACCCTCTGCCCAGGCTCAATTCTGACCCTGTGCCCCCAGGTCCCTCTGGGTGACCCCAAACAGCCTCTTGGAATTCCAACCTGGGGTTATTCTGTCTGCCCGCCTGCCAGATCCCATCACTCTGATGTGGACACCCCAGGTATGGTCCTGGAGCTGTCCCCACTGTGTGACCTTGAGTGAGTCCCCTCTCCAGCCCTCAGTTTCCCCACTTGTAAGCAGAGATGAGTGAAACGACCTTTAAGGGCCCTTAAGGGTGAGAGGACCAGGGACACCCCCAGCCCTCTCCTCCCGTTCCCCCAACATGGGGCTCAGGAGAGCACAGGCGTGGGGTCACACAGGCCTACGCTTAATTTCCTGCTCTACCCACACTTACCCTCTCAGAGTGTCTGTGTCCTTGTCTGTTACATGGGATGAGAACATCTCCCGAGCTGGCTGGGCTAGCAGTGATGAGGGAAGCCCTGACACACAGAAGGGCTCCGAAAGTGCTGCGAGCTCCGGTTTTTAGCGCACGGGCGGCCACTGGCAATGCCGCTTCCCCATCCTGGCTTGGGGGTTAGAGACCCGGCAGCATCCGAGGGCACGGGTCTCACATGGATGCCTGATCCTGTCCACAGGGGCGACCTTGGGGCTCTGCGTCCCGGCTGGCAGGAGGGAGCGGCTGCTGGAGCGGGCCTTCGTGTCCACGAGCCCCCCACAGGCGCCGGGCTGAGTGCCCAGAGGGGGTTCCTGGGAGTGGGTGAGGCAGGCATGACGCTCCCACCTAGAGCTTCCGGGCCGGGGCTGGGGCTGGGGCTGGGGCATGTGTGTGGGAGAAGACGGGGCGGGAGGAACCCGCACAGCAGGCTGCCCAGGCTCTGCGATGATTTTCATCAAGGCGCCTTCCAGTCAGTTCCACACAGGGCTTCTCCCACTTTAAGCTACATGGGAGGCACTTGTGATGGGAGGTGAGGGGCTCTTGCTAACATGCAGATTCTCATGCAGCAGGTCTAGGGCGGGGCCTGAAGTTCTGCATTTCTAACAAGCTCCCCGCGATGCTGGTGCCTCTGGTCTCGGGGGCCCACCCTGACTCTCGAGGTCATGCACTCTCACCTCTCCTGCGGGCTCAGCTTTTGAGAATCAGGAGAAGAGAGTCCAGTCCCAGCTGCCACCACGCAGCTGCCCAAGTCCCATGGAAACACAGACTAAGCAATACAGGTGGGGTAGGAGGGGGCCCAAGCAAACAAGGAAGTGGGGTACCCTGGTGGGGTCACGGTGGACCACAAGGAAAGCTTCCTGGAGGAGGGGGCTTGAGGAATTCAAGGATGTGTTCCAGGAATCCAAGAAATGAGTGGGTGTCTGACTTCAGCAAATGAGAGATGCCAGAAGGAGATGGCCATTGTGGGTCCCCCCCGGCCATCAGACACCTGTAGTGGATGAAGACACAGTGTGTATGGCCAGAAGTAACACCAGTGGATCCACAGGCCAAGGCCTTCCGAAGAACTGGGAAGGCAGCGTCAAGTGCCACTCAGAAGAGGCAGGGTGGGAGCCTGGAAGCAGCCCTGGGTGAGCAGTCCCTTTTCAGGAAGCAGAGTAAGTCCATTCCCTGTGCGCTCTGTGGGGAGCTGGCCCTTCTTCAGCGCTCCTGATGGGGAACTCCCCAATATGATGTTATAGATCCCTCTACCCCATATAGGTTTTTTTAATTCTCTCTATCCCCTTCTCCCATATATATATGTGATTTGAGATGCACATTTCCCCCCACGTTTTGGCACCTCTGAACTCAACGGCGCCTTGCCCTCTCTGTTGGCCTGGATGGAGACTGACCGTCTTCAGAGAGAATCTGCATTTGCAGGGCCGGGTACCCGGACCTCCACCTGAGACCACTTCCACGTGACCTCTCTGCTCGAGGAATTTTGGCCTATGCTGTGTGTATCCAGACCCCGAACCTTGCAGTTCACATTCTAGCAGGAGATTCCCCGCCCAGGGCCATGTTTCATTCCTGCAAGTTTCCTCACAGCCCCTTTCTACGTAGCTGGTTTATTCCACATTGACCCTTTCACGGGGGGCTAACTCTGCCTCCCAGCTTTTTGCTGGAATCTCCTATTAAACTCCGCATGTTGGGCATTTTTCCTTTCTTAGTGAATGTTTGGTGCATCTAACAGCTGACAGCATTTGATGAAATAACTTGTAAAACCAGTATGATCCTCTTCACCATTACAAATAGATTCACAGCTCTTTCACTTTCCCATTTAACACTTTAATTTTCCCTATGCCCAGATTTTCAAGAAGTCCAGTATCCCCCCCTTGAAGTGTCCTTCTCCTGGAGTAAACTGAGAGACCTGAAGGCTCTCCTTGTCCAAAGGTGTCAGCCTGGCTGTAGCCCCCAGCACAGAGCCTGATGGGGCCACTACACTTGTTGCCACATGGTGTCGCTGTTGAACACATTCTGGTGCAGTTTGGTGAATGCCCGTCCACTGCTATGGTGAACCCTTTGCTGAGCCAGATCCCTGCACAGGCCGAAGTGGTGCCCCACATTCAGGTCCCCGAGTTACAGCCTCTCTAGTTCACCCTTCTAGGCTCAGCCAGATGGTTTACGTCTTCAGGGACTTCCGGCCTTAAACACATATTGGGCCCAAACCAGCCTGTACCATCAGCTCAGGCCCCGTATTGAACCCAGGTCATTGGTCCAGACTCCTCTTCACTCAGGGGCCCTTGGTGTCGTTTCCTGACTGCAGGCTTCAGTCAAGAGCATCCCAATCCATCAGAGAGCTTCCAGAACATTGTCCCTCAAATGGGGACGTGTGGAGCATTCAATCTCTTTCTACCCAGGGGCCCCACTGAGTATCTTCCTCCCTCCCTTCAGGGCCGTGTCTACATAACCCAGGGAGCCCATTCAAGCCACAGTTGCCTTACAAGTGAAAACCCACCCCTGGCCTATGAGGTGTGCCATCCTAACCTAACAGTTAGATCCCAACGATTTCTCTAATCGGTGGCAACTTCCCTTGCTGAAAATGCCTTGCATCAGAGAATCTTAAGGCATAATTGTGTTCTGGCCCAGGATCCTCCCACCCCTCAAAGGATGGCATACACCCCACCCTGGGGACGAGGAGCAGTAGGTGAGCTTTTGTTTTGCTGAGTTGGGTCTACACACTAAGAGGGAGAAGCTAGAATACTTAGGATAATGGGTGGGAATATTTCGAGCAACACGGAGGGGGAGGAGCAGAGAGAAAAGACTCAGGACAGCTGGGGAGAGCCCTCTGCAAGGAAATGGATCACGCTTTGTCCACGGTGTGCAATGTGACCTCTCCTCCAGCTACCCACAAAAACACCAGTAAGGTGGATATTACTCTCCCGTGTTTTGGCAGCTGGGTTTGTGGTTCTGAGATGAAGTGGGCCTGGCATCAAGGGGACACAGGACACAAGCAGAGGCTTCCAAGGATGCACGGGAACACCTCTGCTCGACGCAGATGGGAGACCAGAGGAGGGGCTGGGCCAAAGGCACCCAGCAAGTCAGAGCCCAAAGTGGCTCTTCCCGTTAACAATGAACCCAAACAGCCCACCGTGCAATGGTGACCCCAAATCCCAGCTTCCCTGCAGAGCGCTCAGTACAGATACTCTCGGACGGTGAGTTCCTTCAGCGTGAAGCCCCGGAGGGTGGGCTTCCGCAGCTGGCTCTCCTCCAGCCTCTGTTGCAGCGACGCAAAGTCCTTGCCCAGCGCGTAGGCCAGGCGGATCATGGCGTCCAGCAGGGGCGCGTAGTAGCGGTGGCCCTCCCGGGCCTGCAGGCACTGCAGGGCCCTCTCGCCGGCCGCGAAGGCCTCGGCCGGGCGCTCGAGGTCGCGGTGGCACACCAGCATGGCGCAGAGGGCCGGCACCAGCATCACGGGGCAGTGGGCCGTCAGCTTCTCCAGCAGCGGCGCCACGCGCACCAGGATGTCCAGGGCCTTGGTGTACTGGCCGGCGCGCAGGCAGCCGAAGGCCTCCCGCAGCTCGGGCCGCGTGAGGAAGTCGATGAACTCCCGGGAGCGGCGCACGCAGCGGATGGCGTACAGCAGGCTCAGGTACTCCTTGAAGGCCAGCTTGCGCTCCGAGATCATCTCCTCCGTGAAGTTCCCCGTCAGGTGCTTCCTGGGGAAGACCACGTCTTCGATCTCTTCCCTGAAGGTCTTCTGGAGGTTTTTCTGGAGCGTCTCGAAGTCCGAATAGCGCCGTTCCAGGACGGCTTTGTTGCTGTCAAAGCTCCCCGTCTGGATGACGACGATTTGGTACATCTACGGAGCAAAGAGAGAGAGCCTTCGACGACATCCTAACGGAGGGTTTTAACCAACAGAGAGCTCCGGAGAGTAAAAATAATGATGATCATAATTTAAAGCATACCCTGAAAATGGGTATGGTGGTGTGCAATTCTGTGTTCAGTTGCCATCGGCATCAGTGAAACTGTAAAGCGAATCATGACAGGACTCAACCCGAGAATAACCACGCAGAGACATGGAGGCATCTCAGGGGAGAGAGGGCGCAGGAACGGCTGTGCAGGGGGCCTGGGGCGCTCTTGGCTTTCCATCGTCAAAACTGGGCCTCAGGTTCCTGAACTGGGGTTAGATCTGAGCTTGGATTAGATATGTGTTTTCCACATATGGGACACTTGGGAGAAGGTTTTAGGTGTATACTGGCAGTGATGTTATATAGCAAGAAAATTATTCTTTTTCAATTCTCTTTCAAGAGAATACTGATTCAGGGCACAGACTACTTGGGTTAGAAATCCAGCCCCACTGCAGTCTAGCCGTGTGGTCTTAGGGAGGTAGTTTAACCTCTCTGGGCCTCAGTTTTCTCATCCTTAAAACAAAGACAGTAATAGTACCTACCTCACTGGGTGAGGATTAAACGAGTTAATGCACTGAGACCGTGTGGGACTGAGCCCAATGTGCAGCCAGCACTCAGCGTCAGCTATTATTATTATTCCAGTCCTAGGTAAGGGAGGGGAGGCTGAGTGGGGCTCTTCTGTAGTATTAGTATCTCCCCAACACGGCCAGAGAGAGCAGCCCCAGAACACAGAGCCTCTCACCAGCCACGGCAGCTGGCTAGAATTTAACAGCAGCCTTAGCTCTCCCTGTGTTTACTTTTGTGATCACCTTTTCTTTATGCCACGTGGTACTGGTTTTCCATTTAAGGTATTTCCCTTTGAAATAAATATATTTAGTGTTCTTAAAAAGTGATCCAATTTAAAGAAAACATTAGATAAATAATAATATAAATGGTAGAGGGATATGGCACAGACGGTGAAGGAGGGACCCGGCTGACTAATACTGGATGACTTGGGGTTGATCTAGAGCAGCTCCCTCTTAGGATCAGGGACGGGACACACATCACTACTCCTTACAGTACCTAGCACAGTGCCGAGTGAGAAATCTTGCTTTTTGACCATTTCTCCTGAAGAACTCTGTGAGTTACAGTGCATCAACCCATTCCATGGTTGGGAAAGCTGAGGCCCAGGGCCAGGAAGGAGGCAGCGAAAGGCACTCCATCATTTCCTGATCTCCGCTTACCACGAACTTGGAGACCTTCCTCTCCTCGATGCGGGCCGAGCTGATCTCAAAGAGCAGTTTGACGCGCCGCCAGCAGCCCTTCTCGCCGCGCCAGTACTCCTGCAGCTCCCGTGTGGTCATGCTGGAGTTGGAGCCGGGGCTGCTGCGGGCCTCTGGAAGGACGGCATCAGGTCAGTGCACTTCGGGGGCAAGGGCTCGGGGACATGGCTGGGTCTGTCTGAGAGGGGACGTCAGAATCTGGAAGAGCTGTGAATATCCCCCTCCCCATCCCGCCCTTTATAGGCTCCGTCAGGCATCACCCAGACCCCCATGCCCGACCTGGCTGAACCCATCCTACCACGGGCAGCTTCAGATAGTCCATCAACCCCACGTGGTTTCTTGGTTGTGAAATGCAGTGAATTTGTGTTGCATTGTCCACTTCCGGCCTGCAGACTGGCCACTGTGAAACCCCACGCTCCCGACAAGCGGGACTGTGGCTTGTTCATTTCTGCACTCCCTACAACGCTGACTCTGCGGCTGTGGCCAGGCCTCCTGAGCACATGTCCCTGGATGGTGGAGGGAGCCGTGAGGGGGCTGGGCTCCAGGCTCAGCCGGGCGGGCCCCTTCTAACTCTCTCATCTCATTTCCCACAGTCTCTGCTTTTCCTTGCACGTGGCACTCTTTCTGCCTTAAATGCAGTCCTCCTCTTTCCCTGCCTGGAAAGCGAACACAGTGTTTCTTGAACCTCACTTGAGCGCTGAGCTATTGTGAGAATCTTGGGAAAGATTAGAATCCTTCCCCACCAAAAATGTACAAATCATTGTGCATTTTATTTTAATGGATACTGGTCCCAGGAGCCCTTCTCCAACGTGTCCTTCAAGACCCAGCCAACACGTCACTTCAGCTGCCCCTCAGCATTAGAGTAAGAGCCTGCCACCTTGCCCCTATAGCCTTGTCCGTGGCATCTCAAATTATTTTTCACAGATCCGTTTTCCTAGCAAACTTGAGGGCCAGCACAGTGTTTGATTCGCTTCTGTTTCCCCAGGGCCTTGCACAGGGCCGGGAACAGAGCAGGCGTTCAGTGGGCGCATCTTGCACCATTGCATGAATGAGTAAACGACTAGTAGAGATTTGCTCCAGGAGATGGCGCTATAGCGGATGCTGTCACGCAGGGCCCTGCCCCTCGGCACTCCCTGTTCTGGAACACCCCACTGGCTTCCTACCGGAAGCACCTACAGACTGTCGACTGTCACCTTGCGGGCTTTCTTGGGCCACAGCAGCATGTTCTGGAGCATCCCTCAGCCGATGAGGGATGGGACTGGTGGATGACAGCCTGGCCTCCTCGCCTCTCGGATGGGACAACCCACAGTCTCCCAGAGGACCCTTGCTGGGACGGAGCCCCCGTTGCCCACAGCACTAATCTGTTTATGGACACCTCATCCTGGCTTCCTGCCCTTCCTTTCCTCACTTTCCACTGCCCTGCCATACCTCCTGCGATCATCTCCCAGATAAAGCACTTGCACCGAATCCTTGTCTCAGTGTCCGCACTGGGATAACCCACGTTAAGAGAGCTGCCCCACTCTCTTGTGGCATCCACTGAAGTACCCACATTTGTATTTCAAATGTCTTCAAACCTCTATCCCCCAACCACGCCCCAAGCCTCAAGCCCACCTAAGTGCCCTTCAGGTCCCGGACGTGGGAGGTCTGGGCCCGTGGCTGATGTTTCCTGCTTGGTCCCTGCCATGCACTGGGCTCCGTGTCCCATCCATCCAGGGCCCCCAGGGTGCTTGGGACTTGCCATGCTCCAAGGCTGCCTGGGGACAAGAGAGAAAAGTGAGTGCCCACTCACGTCGGGGTTCCTGGTGGGTGCTAGTGTGCCCAGGATCCGTGTCACGGTCCCCACTGCTGAGCCCTCCACTGCCCACCTAGCTGTCCACCTAGCCACCAGATGCTGGGTCTGGCCCTTTCCTGGACTGATCACTCCGAGGCTGAGCAGACCCTCCTCTTGTTGTTAGGATCCTTATCTTATCAAGTTGCTCCGAACTTTAAATGAGGTGATTTCAAGCATGGGTAATGGCTTTAGTATAACGTGGGAGAAAGATGCTGGCTTGTCCAGAAAAATGTCCCAATACTCCATTTTATTTTACATATGTAAATGAATCTCAGCGGCTGAAGTGGGGATACTGGCATGCCTCTTTCCTCTCTCTCGCTCTCTATCTTTAAGCAAACATTCATTGACCACTTGTTACACCCACTTCATACGCACCTAGGTTCCCCACATCCACTATCTTATTTAACACCCACAGAAATCTACCACCACTCCCAATAACAGATGAGGAAACTGAGGTTTAGCCCAAGGTCACGTGGTGGGTGGGTGTGCCAATGAGCAAAGCCACATGCTCTTATCGTTCCAGGCTGTGCACGCTGCTCTCAACACCCACTGTCGCACGTAATCTGAATCCGTGTGTGGTTGGAATTTGTAGCCTTCGTTATGGTAAAGGAACCGAGACTTAGAGTAGCTCACGATCAAGAGCCAGCACGTGGTGGGCTGGACACAGACACAGGCTGGTTGGACCTCAGCATCCTCTCCACCCCCTCGGGGGAGGCAGGCAGCCGGAGTCCTGGGGTTCAGGGTGTGCAGTACCTGTCTGTGACCCAGATAAGTGACCGAGGTGACCTGGGGCCTGGCAAATTACTTAACTTCCCTGTGCCTCAGTTCCCTAAAAAGGGGCAAAATAACAGAACTACCTTCGTGAGGCTGGTGTGAGTGTTAAATCAGGCAGACCACGTAAAGCGTCAGCTCAGGGCTCCGCACACACCAGGCACTGCCTAATAGTTCCTCTTAGTATCTGACGCATGATAGAGGCTTTGAGAAATATTTGAGAAATAAATGACTCTAAAGAAACGTGTCAGTTGGAATAGAATTGAAAATGTCTGGGGCCGGCCTGGTGGCGTAGTGGTTAAGTTTGAATGCTCCACTTCGGCAGCCTGGGGTTTGCAGGTTCGGATCCCGGGTGTGGACCTACGCACCGCTTGTCATGCCATGCTGTGGCAGCGTCCCATATAAAGTAGAGGAAGATGGGCACGGATGTTAGCCCAGGGCCAGTCTTCCTCAGCAAAAAGAGGAGGATTGGCATTAGACGTTAGCTCAGGGCTGATCTTCCTCACACACAAAATATAAATAACTAAAATAAAATGTCTGGGACAAATTAGAAAAAGGGACAAATAAAACATTAGCTCGGCTGGAGCGAGTAGCTAGGGCACCACTTAGGCACAGAAATTCAAAATAAGAAGGGTGCACAAGACCTTACCTCCTTCTTAACAGGATCTGAGAGAGCTGCAAGTGGGACAGAGGGGGCTGGAACTGCAACCCTTGTCCGTCAGACCGCACGCCCAGGTTGGACCCTATGCTGACTGTGGCCTGGAGAGAGGTGAGGCCCCTGCTGCTTTCGAGTCTTAGCCACGGCCCCGGGTATGGCCAGAACTCGTCCCTGCGCCAGGGCTGAGGGCCTCCTGGGGTCGGCCTGCCTGGGGAGAGGTGAGGTCAGCTGGGGCAAGGAGCCCGCGTCAGGTGAAAGGAACCCTGGGACATTCTCCAGGTGGCTGGGCACAGTTGTCCAGTGGGTGGCTCTTGGGGACTGTCCCTCCAACCTCACCTTATACAGACGGGAAACTGAGGCACGCGGCAGGGGCATAGCTGGCCCAGCCGTCACAGGCTTGAGCTCGCATACCTCATTTCTCTCTCGTCTTCCTTAATGAGTCAGGCCTCCCATCCCACCCAATGGTGGGCCCGTAGGCAAGGTATTTCATATCTCCAGGCAAGTTATCTAATATTTCTCCAGCTGAGAAGTATGGCCACAAGCCCTGTCCTGCTGACAAGATGAGGGATGGCTAGGGACAGTTTCCCTACATTCTGGTGGGTGCTCAGGTAAGATAGCTTGTCCGCACACTCTCTTACCTAATGGACTCTTGGTGGGCGAGATACTTGGGGGCCCAGTGTTTCCTGTGGGCACTCCTATGCACCTCCTCAGTTAGCTCATCTGTAAAATGGGTGATGGCAAATGGCATTGGCCTCAGTGGTCCCAGCCTTTCCGGCTCTGCTGTCCTGACCAGGCAGCTGGTGCCAGGTCAGAAGCAGGGCGCTCTTTGCCCAGAGACCCTGTGAGACCAGGGCCTTGGCTGGACGTTCCAGTAAAGACCTGGGAAAGCTGAGCGTGAACCCAGGGCTGAGAAGAAAAGTTAAATTCAGCAGCCAAAGCCGGCCCCCTTACATCTTCTCTTGTGAGATCGGCTGGGAGTCACCCACTACAGAGGAGTGGGGAGGAGAAAGTTGTACATTCGTGCATGGAGTCTTAGGCAGCCTCCTGTTCCTCTCTAGCCTCAGTTTCCTCATCTGTGAAATGGGGAAAGCCATCCTGTCGCTCCACAAGCTCTTTGGGGACAGCTACACAGGGGTTCTGTGGGCCCTTCCCTCCGCTCCCCTCTCCACACCCTGTACAGCAAAGATTTCTAGACTTTACAACAAAATACTGCAAGTGTTGGTGCTGTGGCTTGGAGGCCTGTCCTTGGTCCAGGGGACAGAGCAGCTTCCCAGCCTCTTCCGCCATCCGTGTGCAGCCATTCTGTTCCTTCCCTTCCAGGCGCCCTGAGCATCACTCCTCCCTCCAAGGGCTGCCTGCCGTGTCCAGTCCTTCTCCTGATGGGCATACAGGGCCACCTTCAGAGCCCAGGCCACCTTCCCGAGGGGGCTGCAGAGGATTGTCCATCGGGGGTGAGACTCCAGTGGAGCAGAGTAAAGCTGCCTGGCCTGACCTGGGAGACAGACCATCCTGGACGTTGGATGGGCATGTTCCTAGACGTGCATCAGGGTGGGGGGGGGTGCTGGGGGCTTGTGAAAAGCAGATTTCCTGGTTTCCAACATCAGAGAGTCCAATCTAGCAGATCTGGGGGTGGGGGCGGCCTGGAGTCTGCATTTTACACACGTCCCCCAAGGCTCTGCTTATACGGGGGTTCCCTGGCACCACTTTTTGAGAAACGCAGGTGTGGTGAATTATTCCCTAGGCTCATGAGGGGTGGTAGAAGCATCGGCACTTAAAAAGGATTGAGGTGATGGAGGGTCGAGGAGCCGTCCCTACTCTGCCCCAGTGCGCTAAGGAGAGCCCCGCACATAGAGGCAGTCAGCAACCCTTCACCGTCCCACCCTGCCCCCAACAGGCACTGAGGGAGGGTTCCAGGAGAAGGGGGTGGAGAGGCCCACTGGGCTTGGGGTTGAACACTGACCTGAAGCCTCTGGCCCTGCGCGTGTCCGGGGGTCCAGAGCGTGTCAGATGGCCCCTTCAGCTCTCCATTCAAGGCCCCGGCAAGCAGTCGAGCAGCTGCCGCTTCACTCAGTTCCCGGTTTGAAAACAGGAAATAGGCTGTGTGACCTGCCCCTGGTCGCCCCCGCCCACTGGCTGGTGAAAGAGTGTACTGAACCCAATTGACAGGCTGAGACGGCTGCAGGGCCGGGCAGGACGGCAGGTGCAGCTCTAACTCGAAGGGATCTAGCTGGGCCTCTTGTCCCCATTGCCCTGCAGCAGCCTGGCTGTCCCTCGGAGTCTGCGACAGACTCTGGCATTCGGACAGTAGCTCTCAAAGCTCTGCAATGTTCATGATCCTACCCTGTGAGCTAGGCATGATGGGCCATCATGCCCCATTAACAGATGGAGAAACTAAGGCTTGGAGCACAGAGCTGGTGGGATGCAGAGCCAGAGCCTGAGGTGGAAAGGAGGTGGGGTAGACCCACGGTCTCATTTGGTGCCTTTCTCTGGGCAAAGCTGCACCCAACCCTCCGACAGAAAGGACCAGGGAAGCCAAACCTCTGGGCAGTGGTGTGATTCACGGCCGCCAGTACTGTGGCCTTGAGGGCTGGAGGCTGGGACAAGGCAAATAGGACCTCGCCAGCCCCCACAGAAGTCCTGTGTGTCTCTTCTCTCCCAGCAGAGGTGATCAATCCTGATTCTGATGGGCGTCACTTCCTTGCTTTTTTTTTTTTTTGTAAATTTACCATCTATGGACAGACCCCCAAACAATAGAATTTCATTTTACTCATTTTTGAATTTTATGTAAATTGAGCCATACATACTGTTTGTATGCTTTGGTGTCTTACTTCTTTCATTCAACCTTTATGTGAAAAAGATTTATCAGTGTTTTTTTGTGTAGCTGGAGTGTTTTCACTTTTATTGTTGTGTTGTTCCATTATTTGAATACATCATAATTTATCCTTTTTTTTGGAGGGGGCTGTTGATGCACATTTGGGTTGTTTCTAGTTTGGGCCATCATGATCAATGCTGCTGGGAATATTCTCACACATTTATCCACGTGCACATATTCATCTGAGGTGAAATTACTGGGTCTTAGAGCATGAAGAGCCTCAACTGTGCTAGATTGTGCTAGATTATGCCAAACATTTTCCTGAGTGGCTGTGTCATTTTGCACTCCCACCAGCAGGATGTGAGAGTTCTAGGTGGTCCACATCCTCACCTACACTTGATGTAGTCAGTATTCTTTATTTTAGCCATTCTAATGGGTATGTAGTGTTTTTCTCATTATGGTTTTAAGTTGCATTTCCCTAATGACTAGTGATGTTGAGCATCTTTTCATGGGCTTATTTGCCATTCTTATATCCTTTTCAGTGAAGTGCCTGTTCAAGTGCACTGCTCTTTTTTTTTTTTTTTTTGGTGAGGAAGATTGGCCCCTAGCTAACATCTGTTGCCAATTTTCCTCTTTTTGTTGAGGAAGATTGGCTCTGAGCTAACGTCTGTGCCCAGCCTCCTTTATTTTTTATGTGGGATGCCGCCACAGCATGGTTTGATGAGCGGTATGTAGGTCCACACCCGGGATTTGAACCTGCAAACCCTGGGCCGCCGAAGCCGAGTGCGAGCACTTAACCGCTACACCACCGGGCCGGCCCTCCACTGCTCACTTTTTGATTGGATTATTTTCTTAATGGTTTGTAGGTGTTCTTTATCTATTCATTTGGGTGCATGGGCTTCTCAGTATCTTTTCCCATCCTGTGGTGCATTTGTACTCTCTTAGTGGGGTATTTTGATGAATAGAAGTTGCTGACTTTAAAGTATTCAACCATATTGATCTTTTCTTTCACAGCCAAGGTCTGGCGATTTCTCCTTTATTGTTCTTCTTTGTTGTTGCTTCTGCGACAGCTACAAGGGCCATTGTGAGGCTTAAGATGAGTGCAGATGCACAAAGCACTTAGAACGATGCTGGTGGTAAGCACTATATCAGTACTGGCCTGTCTTGTTATTCTGAAACCTTTCTAGTCTGCCTTTCTCATTTGGCACTCTAGAACACACTTAGGGTAGATTTTTGTGTGGGGTGTGAGGTAGGAGGTCTGGTGTCTTTTTCCCTGTGTTTACTTACTGGCCCACTGCTCTGCAGTGCCATCGCTGTTATAAAAAGAGGACCCATATATGTCAGGTTGGTTTAGCTCAAGGAGAGTGCCATGAATGGTGGCCTCTGGCCTGCTAGCTGGTGAGCCCCTTGAGTGCGGGGCAGTATCTCATTCATCTCTGTCTTGCACTGCCCCACAGACGGCCTGGTGTGGCGGGGAGACGCGGCCTCCCCGGGATTTGTAGAGCATGGCTGGAACTCTCTCCCCCTCCTCCCCCTGGGTCCTGTCCTGCAGCTTTCCAGTTTCCTCCCTCACTCTCTACCTGAGCCCAGAACGTGCGAGACGCCAGGGTAGACTCTGAGCCCTTCTCTGCTGCCTGTGAGCCTCTCACGCAGCAGCCAGCAACCATAGGCAAGAGTGTGGAAGCCACTGCTTCCTCTTCTCAGGGTGGGAGACGCTCTTTGGAAACCCCCGGACATACAGGGGTGTCTGGCCTGCATAGGAAGTACCTAGCTGGACCAGAGTGACCGGGAGACCCCAAGCTTGCCCACCGGCCGGGTGTTGGCTGTTCTCTGCAGCACAGAGCTTTACGTGTCCGCAAGGACAGGCAAGGCCCCGCGGTCCTGGTGGGAGACACCGGCGTAGGCATCTCCCCCCTGCAGTACTGAAGCCAGATGGTGAGAAGGGGAGCCAGAAGGGAAATGCTGCATCTCAGAGTCTAGGAGTGTCTTACAGAATTCAAACTCTTCAAGAATTCAAACTGCTTGGACCCTTCGGTGGCTTCGCACGGCACTCAGAGTAAGTCCAGCCTCTCTCTGAAGCCTCTGTGGTCTGCTGCTGCTCGCCGCCCGACCTCATTTCGCGCCACTCCCTGCGTCGCCTACCACACACAGGCCGTCGCGGCCTGCTTTCGGTTCCTAAGACGTGCCTCCCGGCCTTTGTCCTCGCGATTCCTTCAGCCGGCAGTGGCTCTTCCACGACTGGCTCTTTCTTATCCTCAGGATGCAGCGCGGCTGCCTCACCTTTGTGCGGCTTTCCCTGACCCCTCTGTCGAGACCCATCGTGGTTTTGTTTATTTGTTTATTCCACGGTCTCAAATGCCACGATGGCGGGGACTCTGTGTCAGCATTCTGTCCCCAGTGCTACTGCAGTGCCCGCCCCACGGTGGGTGCTCAGTAATCGTGTGAATGAATGAATGAATGAATGAGCGTGTGAATGTGGACGCGTGGTGACCAGGGCTGAGGCTCCAGCTCAGCCCTGACTCGCTGTGTGACTCGGGCAGCCCACCGCTCCTCTCTGAATCTCAGTTTCCCTAATTGCAACATGAGATTAAGTCAAGGATCCTCCCAGCGCCACTGGGCAAATACCTGAATCCCCTCCTCACCGGCGCTTCGCGGGCTGACAAGCTGGGGACGCCAACACGACACACCTCCTTTGACAAATTCAACGAGACCTGATCACTCACAGCTGTGCCCCCACAGGCCTGCAAAGAAAACACAAGCCTGCGAGGTGTGTGTTTGCAGGTGACACAGAACCCACTCACATCAATCTTGCTTTTCCCCAGCTGGGGGTACACACAGAAACTTTTAAAAATCTCAACAGGGGCCGGCCCTGTGGCTTAGCAGTTAAGTGCGCGCACTCTGCTACTGGCGGCCCAGGTTCAGATCCTGGGCACGCACCGACGCACCGCTTCTCCGGCCATGCTGAGACCGTGTCCCACATACAGCAACTAGAAGGATGTGCAGCTATGACATACAACTATCTACTGGGGCTTTGGGGGAAAAAATAAATAAATAAAATTATAAAAATCTCAACGGTTTTCTACCATATGATCCAGCACGTCCACTTCTGGGTATTTATCCGAAGAAAACAAAAATACTAACTCAAAAAGATGTATGCACCCCCACGTTCATGGCAGCATTATTTACGATAGCCAAGATATGGAAACAATCTAAATGTCCGTTGATGGATGGATGGATAAAGAATTGTGATATATAGATACAACGGAATATTATTCAGCCAAAAAAAAGAGAATGAAATCTTGGCATTTGCAACAACATGGATGGATCTTGAGGGCATTATGCTAAGTGAAATAAGTCAGACAGAGAAAGACAAATACTGTATCACCTCACTTATATATGGAATCTAGGAAAAAAAAAAAGCTCATAGATACAGAGAACAGACTAGTGGTTGCCAGAGGTGGGGATGGGAGGTGGGCAAAATGGGTCAAAAGGTACAAATGCCCAGTTATAAAATAAATAAGTCATGGGGATATAATGTACAGCGTAGTCACTATAGTTAATAGTACTGTTAATAATACTGTATTGCATATTTGAAAGTTGCTTAGAGAGTAGATCTTAAAAAAAGAATTCTATGACTACGTATGGTGACAGACAGTAACTAGACTTATTGTGGCGATCATTTCATAATATATACAAATATCAAATCGTTATGATGTATCCCTGAAACTAATATTGTTATAAAAAAAATTCTTTTTCAAAATAACCCTCAAAGCTTCTTAATATGGTAGGATTTTAAAATTGGGGCCACAGACAGAGTGCGATGTGGGGCGCCGCTGTGGCTGTACTGAGACATGACAGAGGGGTCTGGGGTGTGGGCCTCGATTCTACACAGCAGGGTGGGGGACGCCTCAGCCCCTCCTGGGCCTCACCCAGCTTCAGGACTGTCAGGACCTCTGATCTGTGTAAGGACTCGTGGCTCAGATGTGGGGAGAATCGAACTTTAGTGATCAGCAGAACACACACACCTTGTGTTCCCGGGAGATCTGTTTCTTCGGGTGAAGCCTTTGATGAGTAGTTTGGGTGACGGTTTAGGGCCATCGTATAGTTTTAAGGTCTGTGTCCTACACAGAGCGCCTGAAAAGGCAGCACTCTGCTTCTCCAAGAAGGCATCTGTGTCCACGCAGATGAAGGAGGTGCCTTTTTTTCAAGTTTAAAAAGAAGCATGTGGTGGGCTGGCTGTGAGTTAATTAGATGGAGGATTGAGGAACTGTTTTTCAAAGACAGTGAGTTCCGCTGGTGGAACATTTTGTTTTGCTGAAGCGGAATGTGTTAGTTTGGGGTTAGAATGGAAGGGTTTGAGAAAACGGAGGCGATTCTGGAAACCATATGGCAGAGGAGAAGAAGAGAGAAGAGACACATCAAGGGGTCTGCGGAGGAGGGGCCTGTTCTTCAGGGCAGCTGGATTATGTTTGATGGGTGTCTGATCCTCAGCAAAACTTGCCCAATTCCCTGGTGAGCTTGGAGTTGGGTGAGGGCACAAGGCGGAGGGAAGTGACGAAATGCTGGGTCTTGTCTTATGGTGGAAATGGAGTGAGGCCAGACGCTGCCCAAGAGACCAAGGCACGTCGGTTCCCCAGGTTTGAGGCAGCTCCGTGGAAAGCTGCCTGCTCTGATGTGTCCTTCCCTCACACATTATCCCTCTTTTAATGTCACTCAACAAACAAACTCGGGCCAAGCACTGGGCCAGAGCCTGAGGTCCAGCAACGATAAAGTGATGTCCAGAGCCCTCAAGGGAACACAGGATGGACACATGAGTGTGAGCTGAAACAGAACGCCATCTAGGCCGAGAGCAAACGAGCGTACAGGCAGGCTGCTCCTCGGCACTTCAGAGGACTGAGAGAGTCCTGTGGGGATGGTGGGGGTCTGGGCAGCTTCCTTGAGGGAGGTGGGCATTGAAGGATAGGTACGGCCCCAATAAAAGGAGGGAAAAGTGGGCTTGACTAACACTGCCACCATTCTGTAGCTGGGTCACCTTACGCAAATTATTTACCCCTGGGAACCTTAGACTCTTCATCTCGAGAGTGGGGACAAAGAATAGTACCCATTTCATAAAGATGTTGTGAGGATCTTATGACAGATGAGAGTACAGTGCCTGGCATACAGTAAGTGCTCAATAAATGGTAACATTCATATTATAAAGTGTTTAGTGCTTTCTATGTGCAGGAAATGTGCCAAGTCCTAGTATATGTATTCCTCATGACAAGATCTAAGTGGATCGTCAGCACCACTTAACTGTTTTAGGGAAACTGAGGCCAAGGTCAAATCACTGGCTCAAGGGCATAGAGCTAATAAGTAGAGCTGGGATTCAAATCCAGGTTCGCTTGAGTCCAAAGCCCATGCTCTTTCCACCTGTTGCCTCCCAGTGGAGCACAGAGTGAGCAAAACCTAGAGGCAGGAGGACGAGAGCGTAAGGACGCTGGTGCATCTGGGCGTGGGGAAGCCATTCGTGTGTTCATCCATCTGGGCTGGTTGTGGAAGGGTTTGGACTCGGGTGGGTGGGCTGCTTGGAGGGGGGACCAGCATGGAGGCTGCAGCCTGGTGTGAGGCCAGGTGACCTTCTGTGTCAGCAGCAGCAGCTACGCTGGGCAGGGCCTCTTCCCTCCCAGACCTGCCAGAGATAGTCCTAGCTCCTGGGGCAGCCCTGGGGCACAGGCAACTGGCGATCTGTCCCTCCACCAGCCTCCTGACCAGGGAGAACTTTAAATGACACAATCTGGAGGGTTTCTCCTGAAGAGGAAAAGTCCCAGGCCTGGGGATTCCCAGGAGCTTTGTCCTCCTGCCCCTTCTGAGCACTGCCTGGCTGGTGCCTGGGTCAGAGCACTTGGGGACAGGAATGTCACCAATGGGTCCCAAATGCCTGTCCCTGGTATAGGGTCCTGAACACAGAAAGGTTTTGATAGATGCCTCTTAACTCACTGAAAAGTTTTATAAAATTATTATTATACAAGTAACATATACTTATTAGGAAATACAGGTTAGCAAAAACAGTTTTAAAAATCCTCTTACGGTTGTAAGTAAATTTTGAAGGATAGTCTTTTAGGTTTTTCAATGCACATATTCATAGAATTTTATTACAGACTAGGGGCATACTACACAAAACATTTTTGAAACCCACTTGTTTTCTATTGAGATATAATTCACATAGCATAAAATTCATCCTTTTAAGGTATATAATTCAGTGGTTTTTAATATATTCACAAGGTTGTGTAGCCATCATCATGATCTAATTCCAGAACATTTTCATCATGCCAAAAAGAAACCTGGTTCCCATTCAGTCACTCCCCATTTCTTCTTCCTCCCAGGCTCTGGCAACCATGACTCTCCTTTCTGTCTCTACAGGTTTGCCTAGTCTGGACATTTCATATATACTGATTCATACAATACGTGGCATTTTGTGTCTGGCTTCTTTCACTTAGCATAATGTTTTCAAGGTCTGTCTATGTTGTAGCAGGTTTCAATACCTCATTCCTTTTTATGGCTGAATAATATTCCATTGTATGGATATACCACATTTTATTTTTCCAATCATTGGTTGATGGGCATTTGGGTTGTTTCTACATTTTGGCTATCGTGAATAACACTGCTATGAACATATGTGTACAAGTTTTTGTGTGCACATATGTTTTCCATTCTCTTGAGTACACACCCTGGAGTAGAGTTGCTGGGTCATATGGTAACTCTCTGTTTAACTTTTTGAAGAACCGCCAAACTATTTTCCACATCAGCAGCACCATTTACGTCCCTACCAGCAATGTATGAGGGTTTCAACTTCTCCACATTCTTGCCAACACTTGTTGTTTTCTATCTTTTTGATTATAGCCACCTCTATGGGTGTGAAGTGGTATCTCATTGTGGTTTTGATTTGTATTTCCCTAATGACTCGTGATGTTGAGCATCTTTTCATGTGTTTATTGGCCACATCTCCCTTGGAGTAATGTCCACTCCAATCCTTTACTCATTTAAAAAATTGCATTAGTCTTTTCATTGTTGAGTTTTAGGAGTCCTTTGTATATTCTGAACATGATTTGCAAATATTTTCTCCCATTCTCTTGGTTGTCTTTTCACTTTCTTGATAGTGTTCTTTGAAGCACAAAAGTTCGTGATTTTAATCAAGTCCAATTTATTTTTCTTTGGTTGCTTGTGCTTAGGTGTCATCTGAGAAATCACTGCCCCAGCCAAGGTCAGGAAGAGTCACACCTAGACTGACTTCCAGGACTTTTATATTTTAGCTCTTACATTGAGGTCTTTGATCCATTTTGAATTAGTTTTTGTATATAGTATGAGGTGGGGGGTCCAAATTCGTTCTTTTGCATGAGGCTATCCAATTTTCCCAGCACCATTTGTTGAAAACACTACTCTTTCCCCATGAGTTGTCTTGGCATTCTTCTTGAAAAGCAACTTACCTTATGAATTTAGCCTTATACTATGGATGTTTCTGTATGCTAATAAACATGCCTCTATAGCATCTTTTCAAAATAAGTTTCTAGGGGCCGGGCCGGTGGCGCAGCGGTTAAGTGCACACGCTCCGCTTTGGCGGCCCGAGGTTTCCGCAGGTTCGGATCCCGGCTGCGTGCGCACTGACGCACCGCTTGTCAGGCCATGCTGTGGTAGTGTCCCATATAAAGTGGAGGAAGATGGGCACGGATGTTAGCCCAGGGCCAGTCTTCCTCAGCAAGAAGAGGAGGATTGGCATTGGTTGGATGTTAGCTCAGAGCTGATCTTCCTCACACACGCAAAAATAAATAAATAAAATAAATAAATTTCTATTAAAATATAACAAGCATAAAGGAAAATGCAAATATCATAAGTGTTTAGCTTGGTCAGTTTTCACAAAGTATTTGCACCCATGTGGCCACCACTCAGATAAAAAAAAAACGTAGAACACTACTAGCACCCCAGAAATCCCCTTTGTCCCCGTCCTGGTCACTACCTCCAACCTCCTCCCCAGTGGTAACCTCTATCCTGGCTCCTATCCCTGTAATTTAGTTTTTCCTGCTTTTGAACTTTATATAAATGACATCGGACAGTATTATGCTTTTGCACCTGGATTCTTTCACTCAACGTGATGTTTGTGAGGCTGCAATAGTTCATTCACTTTCATTGGTTATTAGAATTACAGCATCATTTGTGGTACATTCACATAACAAATATTTATTGCATGCCAGTCCCCATGCTAGGCCCTGGGATGAGGCAGGGAACAAGATAGAAAGGTTCCTGTTCCTCAGAGCTCATGTTCTTTTGTGTGAGAGACTGACACCAAAGATGATAAATACGTAAATATATAGGATGTTGTGTACAGATAAGTGCAATAGAGAAAAATACAAAATAAAGCAGGCAAAGGGATGTGGGGGGAGTGGCTGCAATTGTACACAGGATGGTCAGGGAAGGCCTCGCCGAGAAAGTCACACTGAAGCAAAGGCCTGAGAGAGGAGAAGGAGGGAGCCATGTAGATTTCTAGAGGAAGGGCATTCCAGGCAGAGGGAGGAGCAAATGCAAAGGCCCAGAGGTGGCAGCAGGCTTGGCATTTTCCAGAAACAGCCAGGAGACCAGTGGCTGGAGCAGAATGAATGAGTGGAGAATGAGGAGGGGTTCAGAGAGGGCACTGGGCACAAACAGCAATTGTAAGGATTTCTTTGACTGTTACTCTGAGATGGGACTCACTGGAGGGGTTTCAGCAGAGGAATGACATAATTTGACCTTTTTTACAGGCTCACTGTGGCTGCTGTGTTGAAGAGAGACTGTAGCTGGAATAATGGAGAGTGGCTAGGAGCTCTTGCCGTAACCCAGGTGAGACGCATGGTGATTTGGACCCAGGCGGTAATGGTAGATGTAGTACAAAATAGCTGCCTTCTGGATATATTTTGAAGGTCAAGCTGGAAAATTTGCTCCCAGGTTGGATTGGGGTATGAGAGAAGATGAGTCAGTTAAGTTTTCCAGGCTCAGTTGCCCTGTCAGTTTCTTAAGTAATCTCCTATTATTGGGCAATCAGGAGGCTTCCAGCTTTTCGCCGTTACAGAGAAGATGGTGGTGAACATCCTCGTAGACAGAGCTGTACACCATCCAGGATTTCCCTGGGGTAGTGTCCGTCCTTGGAACGCAGCATTCAACCTTCAACCTCAGCCGACTGTGCACCCCCCTGCAGTGTGCACAGTGCACAGTGTATCTGGGGGCAGTGTAGGGTAGTGGTTAGAGCACAACCTTTGGAGCCAGGCGCCTGGGGGCAAATCTTGGCTCTGCTGTCACTACTTGGGCAGGCGAACAAACTTGTCCGTGCCTCAGTTTGTTTATTTATAAACTGAGGATAACGATAGTCACTACCCTGCAGATAGGATTAACTGAGTTAAGGTGTGTACAGCCTGGCACATAGTAAGCTCTTTGTTAATGTCAGGATTTTCCTTTAAATTGAATTCCATTTAAAATTTTCCAAATACAAGTGTTTTAAAAGGAACGTTTATATTAATACCTTCGATAGAAAACCAGTGTGGCGTGCTCGGAAGAATAGGAAATCATAAAATAAAATAGATTTAATTCAATGGAAAGGAAACAGTGCTGTCCAGTTCTGTTTAGATATTGCCGCAGGGCCGGAGGACCGGCAGTGTGAGAGAGTCTGTGAGTGCTACACCGAGACGCGGCTCCTGAACTCCAACAGAAGGGTGCCAAGGAAAAGGAAGAAAGAGGAACTGTGATGCCCTCGCCTACCACGTCACCCACCCCGCTCCAGAGGCGGCTGCTCTGGGACTCCACAACGTCAAGGCTTGAGATGCCTGAGGACTTCCCGACTTGTCCTGAGGGACTCTCGGGTTGAGAGGGGACGCACCTGGCGGGTCACAGCACAGCCGCCCCGCCCCGCGGGCGCCCGGCCTCC